CACACACGCACACACACACACCCACCCACACACACACACGCACGCACGCACGCACACACACCCACACACTCACACACACGCACACGCACACGCACACGCACACGCACACGCACACGCACACGCACACGCACACGCACACGCACACGCACACGCACACGCACACGCACACGCACACGCACACGCACACGCACACGCACACGCACACGCACACGCACACGAACACGCACACGCACACGAACACGCACACGCACACGCACACGCACACGCACACGCACACGCACACGCACACGCACACGCACACGCACACGCACACGCACACGCACACGCACACGCACACGCACACGCACACGCACACGCACACGCACACGCACACGCACACTCACACGCACACGCACACGCACACGCACACGCACGCGCACGCGCACGCGCACACGCACACGCACACGCACACGCACACGCACACGCACACGCACACGCACACGCACACGCACACGCACACGCACACGCACACGCACACGCACACGCACACGCACACGCACACGCAACGCACACGCACACGCACACACACACACACACACACACGCACTGCCAAAAACACACGGCGCACGGAAGCCTGGCACGGGGGCCGCGGGTGCGCACGGGGTTGGCCGAGCGCCAGGAGCGCGCGCACGCCCGGAGCTCGAAGCAGCAGTGGTGGGCCGATTTCCCACCACCACTGATAGGTAGAAGGAGGAGGGAGGAGGCGGAGGAGGAGGAGAAGGAGGAGGAAGAGGAAGAGGAGAAGGAGGAGGAGAAGGAGGAGGAGGAGGAGGAGGAGAAGGAGGAGGAGGAGGAGGAGGAAAAAGACCTTCCCATTCTCCCTTCTCCCCCGTCGTACCTAAGGTAACGGTGGTGGAAAACTGGCCCATCAAGCAAGTCTGCCGGGGGGAGGGCGGGAGGGCACTAGCAAGTTGCCGATCGACGTGAGACCCATCCCATAGTACAGCCGAACATATGCTCGAGAACGTTTGATGTTAAGACACCTGGGCCAGCTCACCGGAAGTTTCCTAAGACCAACCTGGGCCAAGTGTTCGTGTTAACGCTGGATGGTTGAACGCGCTCAAGGAGCTGGGCCAGCTTCCCAGTAACTTGGCGAAGAAACGCTGGCCCAACTTCTCGGGAGGAAGTTTCTGAATCAGATGCTCGACTGCATCTATGATGACCGGCTCCGATCCAGCAGTCCGAGACCAGTCCAGGCCTGACAATGCGGTCTGGATCGAGTCGCCGGTCACTGGATTGGCCACCAACAGCAGCGACTGATGAAGATAGGGGAGCAGCGAAGATAACATGGCGAGAGATGGAAAACAGCATGGCAGAAACAAATGACGGGAACAGCGGAAGGAAAGTGCTTGCATAGAGACTGACCAGACTGGGCACGTACTTGGGAGTTCATTGAACCATCGAGATTTGATGGCACGGTCATGAACAGATTGAGCCGCTGATGCACGAGCAACGGGACGTGTGGATCCAAAACGAGACATGATACAGCTTACGTAGACCACAAGTAAGGCATGCGGCGCATTGCATAACACTCAGACGTGCAGATCGGCATGTTCCAGGTGGTGGGTAGAGGAAGCAAGTCCTGATCGAAGTCGTCGTCGAAATCATCATCGTCGTACTCTTCATCGGCACCTTCCGACTCCTCGCCAGCAGGAGGGGCTTGGAGCCAATTCTGCAACATATGCTTGTAGGAGCGAATACCTCACAGTCTGACAGCTGGGTGCCGAAGCCATATGGCCCCGTGGAGACCACGTGGCCGCGCGAGCGCTGGCAATGAGCTCTGGACACGGCTTTGGGGGCACCGTCAATGCCGGCTGCTTCCTCGGACCGAGGACACCCCGAGCCCGCCGCAAGAATCTGTGGAAGGCCGCCAGCAATCTCGCCTTGCTTTCTGCGCAGACGGCATGCCCTGTGTATTCGCATGGCCATCAGCATCACGACTGCCAAGCTCCGACCCGCTGCCCCTGAGGGGTCGCCGCCTGTGTGTGGAAGAAGCGACAACGTGGTCGGACACCAGCCCGCCGCGCGACCAACAAGAACTTAAGCACCGCATGGCGTGCGCAGTGCACGAGCACAGTGCAGAGAGAGCGCGCGCGAAGAGCGAAGGGCACATCGAAACCACCTCCCCTCCTCCACTCCCAGGACCATCCTCCCAGCCCGTGCCCCCTGCCTCCTCCGTGCCGCCCTCCGCAGCGGGGCCCCCGTGGCCGCTGGGTCCGCTGGGCCCGTGCCCACCCAACACGCGCGCCCCTAGCCGCCCTGCCCCGTCCCGAGACCCCCCAGTCTGGTCGCAGAACGTCGGGAGTCTGTTTTTGTTTGAACAGCTCGTAACAAAAAACAGACTTCACGCACGTAGCTTACGTCGGAGGCCAGGCCATAAAGAAGCTCTGGGCCTTCTCGCTCTCTCTCTCTCCCGCTTTGGTTACGCAGAGGTGCCATCGACGTAACCTCCTCGTCCTCCTCCTCCTCCTCCTCCTCCTCCTCCTCCTCCTCCCCCTCCTCCCTCCTCCCCTCCTCCTCCTCCCTCCTCCCCTCCCTCCTCCCTCCTCCCTCCTCCTCCTCCCTCCTCCCTCCTCCTCCTCTCCTCCTCCTCCTCCTCCTCCTCCTCCTCCTCCTCCTCCTCCTCCTCCTCCTCCTCCTCCTCCTCCTCCTCCTCCTCCTCCTCCTCCTCCCTCCTCCTCCTCCTCCTCCTCCTCCTCCTCCTCCTCCTCCTCCTCCTCCTCCTCCTCCTCTCCTCCTCCCCTCCCCTCCTCCTCCTCCTCCTCCTCCTCCTCCTCCTCCTCCTCCTCCTCCTCCTCCTCCTCCTCCTCCTCCTCCTCCTACGTAGATGGCAACGGCGCACCCCTGGACGCGCCGGCCCAGTCAGAGCGCAAGGGAAGCGCACGCGCTCCGAGGATGGAGAGCCCCCAGGCGAAGAGCCCACCCGAGCCGGGGGCGCCCCCTCCGCGCGCGTGCCAGCGGCAGGGAGGCGAGGGAGGCTCCAGGCTCCAGGAGGGGGAGGAGGAGGTTCGAGGAGGAGGAGGTTCGAGGAGGAGGAGGAGGGGGTTCGAGGAGGAGGAGGAGGAGGAGGAGGTTCGAGGAGGAGGAGGAGGAGGAGGAGGAGGAGGAGGAGGAGGAGGATCGCAGCCCGAACGCCGGGAGCCTGAGCCCCCCCCTGCAGGCCGCGCCCTGCCCGAGGGCGGCCCCCCCCCCGGCGGGGCCCCGCCCTGCAGGCCCCCCGCGGCGGGGCCCCCGGCGGGGCCCGGCCCCGGGGCGCGCCGAGGCGCCGCCCCCCCCCCGCCGCCCGCGGGGGGCCCAGCGTGCGCCCGCCCGGGGCTCGGCGGCATCGGCGGGGCCCCGCCGTCGGCCGCGCGGAGGCCCCCCCCGCGACGGCCACGCCGCCGAGGACCCGACCCGAAGCCCGAGGGCCCCAAAACCAGACGAGGGAGCACGTTTCATGGGAGGGGGGGGGGAGGGGGTTCGAGCCCCCCTCCCCTCCATCCAGAGGGGGTCCGGTTCCAATACGCCCCCCCCCCCTCCAAGCGACCACAGAACGCGCTCTTTCAAACCTGAGGACCCGACCGGAAAACCCGAGGAGGACACGAAAGCCTCAGGACCCCGACGGGAAAACCCGAGGAGGACCCGAAAGCCTCAGGACCCGGCCGACGCCTCAGCCTCTGCGGGCCCGCCCCGGACCCAAGGATCTGCGGGCCCGAAAACGAAAGCCACTCCCGTAGGCGCTCGACCTTCCATGCCCTGCCCCCGCTCACGCCCCGACACCCCCCCACCAAAGGGCCAGGGCGGGGCCACGGACCACATCCTGGCCTCCGTGGCCCCTTCTTTCTCCATGCTCCGCTGCACCTGGCGTCTCGAGGGGGGGAGCAGCAGGAGGTGTGGATCGAACGCCGATCGCCGATCCGTCTCTGCTCCTCCTCGCAGCCGATGTTGCCCCCTATCGTGCTAGAAGGACCACATCCCAGAGACATAACTTCGAGCACCCAGACAAGTATCGAAACAATGTCAAACGCGTATCGCTTCCCAAGGCCCGACACGTGACAACCGTCAAGCTTCGGTACTTTCCTGATACTCGATTGTACTTCTGGCGATCGAGGCCAAAGAAGGCTGGAACGTCATGACTCTTGGCGCCTTGACTGCAGGCTTGGGTCGGGCATGTCCCCCCGACATGCGCATTTAGGATCAACAATAAATACACCCCAGAAAAGCCCAAATGCGAAACAACAGTCCACACATTCTCCTCGGACTACTGTTTGACCACTTCTGCCTCCCCTTCCTGTGGAGGGCCATGCCCGACCGACTTGACCGCAGGCCCGCCCCACCGGCCGCTCCGCCCCTCGGCCAGGTCGGCACGGGGCCGCGGCCACCCCCTCCCCCTGCCCCCCTCTGCGCGCCGCCAAGTTCTGCCGGTTCCGACGCCGTTTTTTCGCCGGATCCGTCGCCGTTGCTTGTGACTGGTTCCGGCTCCGGTTCCAACCCTGGAGCCGTTTTTGTTGCCGTTTCCGGTCGCCGTTTTTTTTGTGCCGTTTCCATTTGCAAGGGGCATTTTTGGGAAACGGTGAAACAACGGCCCTGCCGTTTCCGGGGCCCACAAAGGGCGATACGTGTGATCGTACTCTTCTTGGTCATTGTTCTGCCGATCGGCGCGCTCCCTCGCCCCTCCCCTCCCCCCCCCCTCCCATGCAGTGGATCTTGGCTGCCTTTGGCGCCTGCTCCAAGGCAGGCGGAGCCTCCCCCCTGCAGGACGCACTGTTGCAGAGAGTCGCATCAAGCAGGGGTCCAGGGCCAGACCCCCCCCCTCCGCTCCCCCCCCCTTCCCGCCCAGTGTCGGAGCGCCGAACCCAGAGATCCGACGTCGCGATTTTTTCAATACGCGGTCCCCCGAAGTCTCGACCCATTCCCCAGGACCGGCTTCTCATCCTGAGTCGTTTTTTGACGGTCCCGGGGCCCGGCGAGGGCCCCTTGTGGCCGAAAATCGAGGAAAACCTCCGTCTTGTTTTTTTCAATACGCTGGAGGTCTGGGAACCAGAAAGCGCTCCCCCTCGTCGAAGGATCGGCGATGGACTCCCGCTGCCCCGTCCGCACGCTCCGGGGCGCGCCGGGGCCGCGGGGCCCCCATCGGCGAGGAGTGCCGCGGCGCGTGGGCGCCGACGCCTCCCCGCCGGAGCCCTGCCCCTCCATTGCCGTCTCTCTCTCTCGCTCCCCGGCCGCCCTCCGAGGCTGCAGCCCTCGTGCGGCGGGGGGGCGCGCAGGCGCAGGGGCCTTTGCAGGCGAAGAGGCCCTGGGACACACAAAATAAATATAGACACGACTGACAGGATTCCCAATCTCTCTTCTATGCTTTCTGATTTTTTGTTTCCCCCCCCCACTTCCCATAGTTTCCCATATTTCCTCGGGAATCGACGATGAATTGTGTCTGTGTGTTTTTTCCCCTCCTGAGCGCGCCGAAGGAAGGCGCACGAGAGCACCGCCCCGCGAGGGGGCGGCATAGGGCTCTCGGGCCCCCGTGCCGGCGATGCGTGGGCGACGGGGTGCCGACGCGCCCCCCCGATATCGTTGCCCCCGATCCCGCCCGCGAGGAGAGAGGGCGCCGCCCGCCAGCCCAGCGTGCCAGGGCGGCTCCTTCGTCTTCGAGCGCGGCCTCGGCGGAGCGAGCGAGGGAGGGGAGGGAGGGAGGGAGGGAGGGGAGCGAGGGAGGGAGGGAGGGGAGGGAGATGGAGCGAGGGAGCGAGGGAGCGAGGGAGGGAGGGGGAGGGAGGGAGCGAGGGAGCGAGGGAGGGAGGGAGGGGAGGCCCGCGACCGCTGCGGACGGGTGCCCGGGCGCCACAGCCCAGACCTGAGGGCCGGCGCGCGCGGCCAGGATGCACGGGCCTCGGGCGCCCAATGCCGAGGCCTTGCGGGCGGGGGCGGAGCATCGGGGGAGGTGGAGGACGGGCCCGAGGTGGCCGAATGGGCAAGGGCGCAAGGGCGCACCTGGGGACCCAGACCCCCTCGAGTAATGAAAAAATCATGACGGGAGGTTTTTCCAAATTTTCGGCCTCCGGGGGCCCTCACCGGGCCTCGGGAGCGTCAAAAAACGACTCAGGATGCAAAGCCGGTCATGGGGAAAGGGTCGGGACCTCCGGGGGTCGACGTAATGAAAAAATCATTACGTCGGGGGTCTGGGGAGACGCTCATCCTTACCAGCAGTGTTGGCCGTACCCCAGGCCAGGCGTGTGAGGCCGTGGCCTCAGGCACTGGGCAAAACGCTCGTGGCAGCAGACAGTGCAGGAAGGGGATAGGGGGAGGAGGGAGACGACCACCGAGGTGAACTCCCCTTCCTCCCGCCTCCCTCCGCCCCCCCTCTCGGGGGCGTGCAAACATGGATTAGCGATCCATGGATTTGGCGCGCGGTCGCCAAATCCATGGATCGGGGGAGGCGCCCTCCCCAAAAGTGCGGCTGGTGCCGCCTCGCTCGGCGGTGGAAACCCGCGGTTTCCCATGGAAACGGGACCCGTCGCTAAGCCACGCCCCCCCTGTCCATGCTTGCGACCGCCGAATTGCAGTGTGCATGACCAGACACAGAGACACTCGGCCCGCCTGGCAGGAGAGCCCAGAATCGAATCGACAAGTCGGATCGGCGATCGAAATGAATCGGATCGGCGGAAATCGGCAGCCGAGTCGGG